CAAAACTACAATTTTAAAAATGAACGAAAATTTAGAATTCAAAGATTTAGTTAAAATTAAAATTACAAAAATCAACTAAAATTTAGAATTCAAAGAATTAACGAAAAAACTTCGAATTAAAATAATTAAATCGCATTTTCAATTACAGAAATTATCTCAAATTTAAAATTAAAAGAATTAATCGAAATTTAAACTTACAAAAATTAACTAAAATTATTTTGAATTAAAAAAAGTAAATTTTAGATTTAAAAAAATTAACTAAAATTTAGAATTTGAAAGATTCAACTAAAAACTACAATTTTGAATAAATTAACGAAAATTTAGAATTTAAAGTTTTCGTTAAAATTAAAATTGCAAAAAAATAACTAAAATTTGTAAATAAAAAAAATTAACTAAAATTTAAGATTAAGAATTAACGAAAATTTTGATTTTAAGAGTAATTGAAGTTTAGAATTCAAAGAATTAGTTAAAATAAAAAAAATTAACTAAAATTTGTAATTAAAAAAAATTAACTACAATTTAGAATTCAAAGAATTAACTAAAATTTAGAGTTTCAAAAGTTAACTAAAATTTCGAGTTTAAAGATTTAGTTGAAATTTAAAATTACTAAAATTAATTAAAATTCAGAATATAAAGAATTAACTAAAAATAAAAATTACAAAAACTAATTAAAATTAAGAAATTAGTTAAATTAATAAATTAAAATTTGTAATTGAAAAAATTATCTAAAACTTTGAATTTAAAAAATTAACTCAAATATGAAATTAAAAGTATTAATTATTCAAAATTACAATTGAAAAAATAAACGAAAATTTAGAATTCAAAGATTTAGTTAAAATTAAAATTACAAAAATTAAGAATTTAAAGAATTAACGAAAAATTAGATTTTATAAAAGTAACTGAAGTTTAGAATTGAAAAATTAAATGGAAATTTACAATAAATAAATTAATAAAAAAAAAATTAAATTAAGTGAATATAAAAAATTCCGTACTTAATTTTTTCAGTTACTTAAATTTTAATTTAAAAAAAAGTCCTTATAATCATTAAATACACTTTCAGAAGAAGAAAAAATATGATCGCCCATTAAGAAATGAAGGCGGGTGTAAAAAAAAATGTGTGAAGAAAAATTTTTTGGGAATTCGATAAGTATATAAAGTGAAAGCTAAAAGTCATTTTTTTCGCCTTGAATTGCCCTTTAATTATAAAGAATTAAAAAAGTAGAGTCGCGATTCGACCCGAAGTCAGTTCTTGAGTTGAGATTTAGGTTAGATCATGTTTACAGATATGCAAAGAGCGTATACATATAAAAACAGGTTTTGGGAGCCGGCGCAAAAAAAAATTTTTTTTTCTTCCTTTTTATTTTCAATTCCTCGAACGATTTTTCAGTAATGAAAATCACAAAACGAGACTGTTTAAAGTGGATGAGCACCGTTTAAACGCTATTAGACTAGAGACAGCTGTAGATTTTATTTTTAGGGCCAGCGAACCCGCCTTTAAATTTATCTGACAAGTGATTCTCCTATACTGGAGCCGGCAATTGAAAGATGAAGAAGAAAAAAATTTCTTACAACTGTAATTTAAAGTAAAAATCGAATCCGGAAAAAAGTGCCATTTCGCGTTACTTAAAATTAAATTCTGCAAATATTTGACAAAAAGTTCGATTTTATAAACCAGGGAATTTAATTTGGAAATTGGAAAATTTTTCTTTGAATCAAGTCTGAGTGAAGAATAAAAGACCGTCGATTAATATTTTCCCTTCGGGGATAACAAATTAAGCTGCTTACAAAATACAAAGTCAAGAAATAGACATAAATTTTCAGAGTTTACACTCGCCAAATTCGTAATTGGGTATTTAAGCTGCGTTTAGAATTTCACATTTCCTTGGAAACATTGCCGAATGGTTCAGTTGGCAGACGTTCAATTTTGTTGACAACAAGTCTTTTTTGCCTTATTTAAATTTAAAACAAGGAATATCGAAATATTTTATGTAGAATTTCAGTTTTTAGAAAATCCAGGGGTGCCACAAAAAATGTATTTTCTTTTTTCCTGACTTTTCCCTCATTTTTAGACAAAATTTTGAATTTTTCCCTGATCCTCAAAGAATATTCTGATTAACTACAAAAATAATTGGACAAAAAATTAATTTTCTTTTTCCCTGATTTCTAAACAAAATTTAGAATTTTTCCCTGACCCTCAAGAATATTCTGATTAACTACAAAAATAATTAGATAAAAAAAATGATTCTATTGGATTCATTTACGAATTTCTTTAACTAAATTATTCGAAAACGTCAATAAATTCTTTTTTAAATACATATTTAATCGTTATCATTATTCCATAGAAATTAAGAGTTTCAAAAAATTTCAAATTCAAACCTTTATAAAATTCAACAACTTATAAAAATTTTTAATAAAATCCTTCAATTATTTAAAAAAATGTAATAATAAAATTCGTTGCGAGAAATCAATTATTTTCATAAATATTACAATTCTTTACAGAATTTCAATTATTTAAAAAACTTTAATAAAATCCGTTGCAAGAATTGAATTATTTTCATAAATAATAAAATTCTTCATAAGATTTCAATTATTTAAAAAAATGTAATAAAAATTCATTACAAGAATTCAATTACTATCTTAAATAATAAAATTCTTTACAGGATTTTAATTATTTTTAATACAATTTTAAGTAAATTTTTATCGAAAAATGTCATTATTTTGAAAAATATTATCAAAATTTTTCGAAAGAATTCAATTATCAATTATTTTTAATAATTTTGCAAAAGTTCCTTGACAATTTTCAAATCCATTTATTTGTTTACAAAAAATTTTACGAAATTTCGATTATTGGGAAATTCTTCAATTAAATATTTAGAAAATAAAAACTAGAAATAATTTCCAAAAAAAAAATTAAAATTAAATTTTTCATAAAAAAAATTCTACAAATATATTTTCAAAGATTTTAATTTAAAACCTTTTCAAAATTCAATTATTTTTGAAAATTCAAGTAAAGTTATAATGTTTGTAATATTCAATTAATATCTAAAATTATTATGTATTTTAACTAGAAATCCATATTTAAAATAATTTTTATTAGAAAATTCTACGAGAATTCAATTATTTAACTTCAAAAATAAATAATTTATTAAATAAATGAATGTTTTCCGAAATTGAATTTTCATAAAGAATTTTATCAACAAATTTTTAAATAATCGAATTTTTTCATCGAATTTGAATCAAATTTTCAAAAATAATTACAAATTTTGAAGAATTCGATTAAAATTTGTATTCAAAATAATTGAAATTCTATGATGAGTTTTATTATTCATGAAAATAATTGAATCGCGGTAAAAAAAAATTTTTATTTATGAAAATAATTGAATTATTGCGAAGAAATTTATAAAAAAAATTTGTAAATACTTGAATTCCTGCGAAATTTTTATTATTTATGAAAATAATTTACTGTTTGTTTAGAATTTTATCAACACTTTTTTCTTGCTAAGAATCTTATTAAAATTTTTGAAAATAATCGAATTCTTTCGAAAAATTTAATTACGAAACTAATAATTGAATTCCTCTAAAGAATTTTTTTATAATTTATGAAATAAATTGGATTTTTGCGAAGAATTTTATTAAAATATTTTTAAATAATTGAATTGCTAGGAATAATTTTATTTTTTACTAAAATAATTGAATTTTTGCAAAGAATTTTATTTTTTATGAAAATAATTGAATATTTGCGTAGAATTCTATTAAATTTTTTGAAAATAATTGAATTCCTAGAAATAATTTTATTATTTACGAAAATAATTGAATTCCTGCAGAAAATTGTATTATTTATGAAAATAATTGAACTTTTGCGAAGAGTTTTTATTCAAATTTTTGAAAATAATTGAATTTACAGGAATATCTTTATTATTTACAAAAATAATTGAATTGCTGCTATGAATTTTGTTATTTATGAAAATAATGTAATGTTTGCTTAAAATTTTATAAAGACTTCTTTTTATATAATATTGAATTTTTTTGAAAAAGTTTATTAAAATAGTAGATAGTAAAAATTATCGAATTGAGGAAAATGTTTGAAAACAATTGAATTTTGGTGAAGAATTTTATTATTTTTAAAAATAATTGAAATTTTGACGAGAATTTAAAAAATTTTTGAACATAATTGAATTTATGCAATCATTTGTATCTTATCCAAAATTTAATTTTTTCCAATACTTTAATAAAAATCCCTGACTTTTCCCTGACCAATTCTACTTTCTTTGACTTTTCCCTGATTTCCCTGACCTGTGGCAACCCTGAGAAAACAGAAAATTGACAAATTATATTTTATGAATTACCTTTTCGTTTCGTCATTGCAAGTGTCAATAACATGGAAAAAGGGGTAGAAAGTAATAAAAAAGGAGAAAAAGTAATAAAAAAAAAGAGGTTGAAAAAGTAAAGCAAACGGGAAAAAATTGACAGAAATTGGGGAAGAATTAACTGAATGAACTGAATGAAGTGACAGCAACCAGAATGGCGAGAAAGTTAGGTTAAGTTCCTCTCGAAGGTCAAACTGTAATCACGGAACCTCCCACGCATAAAAAGCCTATAGGAGCCCAACCTCAAAAATTCGAAACTCAGTATCACATTCACCAAGTGCCATGACACATACACAAATCAGATTTCAACATGCAGTTTGTTAATGCCAGTTTAATGCGACAGTGGAACTTAGCGCTCCTCTCAAGTGAACGAACGCACGGCAATTTCACTGTTTCACTTTCACCACCCACGTTGTTCTCCCAGGGTGACTTCTGAATCACACAGGTGCTTAAAAACCGGTCAATCAAACACAAAATCAAGTTTCACAAAAAACCTAAATTCAAGCCGCGAAAAACACAAAATACGAAAAACATTCCTTCCAACTTTGAGGTTATGTTCATTCTCCGACTTTACTTTTCCGCCAGAAAAAAAACACAGATACAATTTTTTTTTAAACCAATATAATTACAAACCTTCTTCATAATGCCGGTTTTCCTCTTGGAGAATGTCGTGTACCTCCTCAATTTGTTGTCAATGTATTCCATCTTGATTTTGACCCTTCCTTTCGTCTTTTTACCATTTGAGGGTGGCGATTTTTTTGGTTGTCCCAAATTAGTGAATGATTCATCTAAATTCTCAGGCACCTGCATCATTTGTGAATGTCGTACATTACCGTCATCGTAACAACGTTTAACACCTCGTTGAACACCGACGCCGGGCGTCGCGGCGTCAGACATCATTTGTGATGTTGCTAACTGTGAAGTTGACGGTCTTCCGTACATCTCCGTATCCATCATTCCCATACTGTAACTTCCGCCGCTGGGGTTGTCCATTACGGACGCGCGCACATTTATTCCAAAAATTTGTCGTCTCTCCTTTATATATTAAAAATTAAAATAATAATATAACGAGAGAACCTCTAAGCGCACAGGGTTTATTCACCACGTGATCGATCATCTAATTAGAGTAAAACGGGACAATAATACGCGCGAGAGCGCTCCCCGTCAACTGAGTGAACTGAGTAACTTGACCTACGTGCTCGCTCCACCGCATTACCACTTTTACTCCCACCAATTGTCATCCGCGAGAAAAATACAATCCGTCAATTCTTATCTGACCATAAACGTCAAATGAATCCCACTCTTATTTTTCCCAAAAATTAACAAATTTACCCCTCTTTTATTGAAGGGGGAAAAAAAATTCTCACATTGTCAGTATATTGTTGAAATCACGAGGGTAAATAAAGACGGCGGAGGTTTACATTTAGTGGAGAGAGGGCTGCCATATACCTCTGTTTACCATATTTGGTAAACAGAGGTGGTCCTGCGCGTTAAGGGATATAAACTGGAAATGGTCACCTGACAGGTCAGGTGGGAATCTCAAGAAATCAAATTATTACAATATTATTTTTTTTAACAATTACAATGTTACAATTTTACCAAAAAGAACTATTTTTATCCAAATAAATTCAATCAAACGAGATCTAACCGTTTTTCACAACGTTCACAACCACGTGAATGATAATTAACCCTAAATAATAAATATTTAATTATTTTCATAGTAATTCAATTATTTTTCGATAGTTAAATTATTTTAATAGTAGTTCAATTATTTTCTTCGTGGTAATTCAATTTTTTTCGTATTAGTTCAATTATTTCGATAACAATTCAATTATTAATTATTAAACTTATATTTACGGCAGGATCAGGTAATTATTAATTATTCAATTCGAATTGAATTATAATTATTCAAATTTAGATCCAAACTTTAAATTTACCGAAAAATTAACAATTTTCTAAATTTAATTAGCAGTAACAATTGGTTAGTTAGATTTACTGGTAATTGGTCAAAATCAACAAAATAAAAAATACAAGTATCGATTTCTAGTAGTTTGTCGATTTCAAGGAAAAATAATTTTCAAGGATTTTTGAAAATAACCGCCAAGTGTCACGTGGGCGGGAAATTGTCCACTCTGCATTACCGACGTTAACTTCAGAGACTTTAGGTCACATTTACAATTGTAAACATACGGTCACAAATTCTTTGAATAATAATTAATAAATTAAAAAAGAAAATAAATAATAAATTAAATAAGCAATTAAAAAATGAAAATAATTAAATTTTTGTCAAGATTTTTATTGTTTAGTAAAATAATTGAATTCTTACAAAGAATTTGTTAGAATTTTGAAAGTATAATTGGATTCTTACTAAAAATGTTATTAGAATTTTTGAAAATATGTAATTATTTTCAAAAATTCAATCAATTAATTGAATTGACAGGAATAATTTTATTATTTACAAAAATAATAAAATTCTTGTTAAAGATTTTATTAAAATTTTAGAAAATAATTGAATTGATAGGAATAATTTTATTATTTACAAAAATAAAAAAATTCTTGTTAAGAATTTTATTTAAATTTTTGAAAATAATTGAATTTTTACGAAAAATTTTTTTGTTTACGAAAGTAATTGAATTTGTGTAAAAATTTTATTATTTATGAAAATAATTGAATTTTTTTTGGGAGAATTTTATTGAATTTTTTGAAAATAATTGAATTGCTAGAAATAATTTTAATATATTACGAAAATAATTGAATTTCTGTAAAAAAATTTACTATTTCTGAAAATAATTGAAATTTTGCGAAGAATCTTATTAAAAATGTTTTTGGAAATTACAGAATTTTTTCAAAGAGTTTTATTACAATTTTTTAAAATAATTGAATTTTGGCAAAAAAATTTATTATTTTTTGAGATAATTGAAATTTTGACGAAATTTTTTTTTTAGTTTTTGAACAAAATTGAATTTTTGCGAAAAATTTTATTATTTTTAAAAATAATTGAATTTTTTCGGAGATTTTTATTAAAATTTTAGAAAATAATTTAAATGATAGAAATAATTTTATTATATTTTACGAAAATAATTGATTTTTTCTTAGAATTTTTAAAAACTTTTTGAAAATAATTGAATTGCTATATAAATAATTTTATTATTTACGAAAATAATTGAATTTCTGTAAAAAAATTTACTATTTATGAAAATAATTGAATTTTTGCGAAGAATCTTATTAAAAATGTTTTTGGAAATTATAGAATTTTTTTCAAAGAATTTTATTAAAATTTTTTCAAATAATTGAATTGCTGGGAATATTTTTTCTGAAAATAATTGAAATTTTTCCAAGAACTTTATTTAAATTTTTTAAAATAATTGAATTTTGGAGAAAAATTTTATTATTTTTAAAGATAATTGAAATTTTAAAGAAATTTTTTTTTAGTTTTTGAACATAATTGAATTTTTGCGAAAAATTTTATTATTTTGAAAAATAACTGAATTTTTTCGGAGATTTTTATTAAAATTTTTGAAATTTATTGAATGGCTAGAAATAATTTTATTGTATTTGCGAAAATAATTGATATTTTTTTAAAAATTTTATTAAAATTTCTGAAAATAATTGAATTGCTACAAATAATTTTATTATTTACGAAAATATTTAAATTTTTGTGATGATTTTTAAAAAATTTTTGAAAATAATTGAATTGCTAAAAATAATTTTATTATATTTACGAAAATAATAGATTTTTTCTCAGAATTTTATTAAAATTTTTGAAAATAATAGAATTTTGCTATAAAATTTACGAAAATAATTGAATTTATGTAAAGAATTTTATTAATTTTAAAAAGAATTGAATTTTTGCGATGATTTAAAAAAAAATTTTGATAATAATTGAATTGCTAGAAATAATTTTATTATATTTACGAAAATAATTGAATTTCTGTAAAAAATTTTATTATTTATGAAAATAATTGAATTTTTACGAGGAATTTTATTATAAAATTTTTTAAAAGAATTGATTTGCTAGAAATAATTGAATTTTCACGAAGAATTTTATAAAAAATTTCGAAAATAATTGAATTGCTTGAAATAATTTTATTATAGTTACGAAAATAATAGAATGTTTATAAAGAATTTTTTCATTTTTATGAAAATAATTTTCTTCCAAATTATTTTATTATTTAATTATAATATTGGAATTAATTGAATTCTTTCTAGAAATTTTATTGAAATTCTTTTCAAAATTATTTTAATTTTTGCGAAGATATTAAACATTCGTGTGACTGAACCTTAAAGAAAATTGAAAAAGAATTTTCCTGAAAACTTGCCTGAATATTTACGTTTTCAAACTATGAAACACCCTTTACATCATTGAAGACGTGGAAATGTCAAAACCAATACACTGTTAACCTCAAAAACATCTGTCATGTTTCGTTGAAAAAAAACAACATAAAAAATAAGTGAAATTTTGCCAAACAAAGTGAAATATTTAAGAAACAATTAACCAAAAATCAACTATAATTTTTCTCCAAAATGTCAACAATACGTGAAAAACAGATAAACGCCCTCAAGCAAATGTTGAATTTAAATGGACAGGACAATAAAACCGATGTGCCAATTTGGAAAGTTTTAATATACGATCGTGTCGGTCAGGATATTATTTCCCCTTTATTATCAGTGAAGGAACTTCGCGAACTCGGTATAACATTACACATGCAATTACACTCGGATCGCGAATCAATTCCCGAAGTCCCGGCAATTTATTTCTGTGCCCCGTCCGATGAAAATCTCTGTCGTATCGGTCAGGATTTACAAAATAATCTCTACGATATTTATCATTTAAATTTCATATCGCCAATATCGCGGCAAAAAATGGAAGATTTAGCCCTCGCTGCAGTGCAAAGCGGTGCCGTCGCCAATATACAAAAGGTATTCGATCAGTATTTAAATTTCATAACCCTCGAGGAGGATTTCTTCGTCCTTCGTCATCAGAATAGTGACGATATTTCATATCACGCGTTAAATCGTGGCGAAATAAAAGATACGGAAATGGAATTTATCATTGATACAATTGTCGATGGATTGTTTTCGGTTTTCGTGACATTGGGTACAGTTCCTGTGATTCGTTGCCCGAAGGGAAATGCAGCGGAGATGGTGTCGAAAAAATTGGATAAGAAACTACGGGAAAATGTTTGGAATTCGAGAAATAGTTTATTTCAATCGGAGGGTTTTAAATCCGAGCCAATGAGTTTTCAACGACCTTTGCTAATTGTTTTGGATAGAAACAGTGATATTGCGACGCCATTCCATCACACGTGGACTTATCAGGCTTTGGCTCACGATGTTTTAGAGTTGTCGTTGAATCGACTTGTTATCGAGGAAAATACGGGAAGATCGCCAGCCGGTAGTGTTCGTTCGAAGCCAAGAATTTGTGAATTAAACAATTCGGATCGTTTCTGGTCGCAGCATAAAGGAAGTCCTTTTCCTAGAGTCGCAGAAGCTATTCAGGAAGAATTGGAACAATATCGTGTTTTTGAGCACGAGGTCAAGGATCTAAAGAGTTCAATGGGTGTTGATGACGAAGCAGAAGCGGAAGGCCTCTTCATCTCCAACAACACGGCTCGCTTGACGAATGCAGTGAATTCCCTCCCCCAACTTATGGAACTAAAACGATTAATCGACATGCATACATCAATAGCAACTGGAATTCTAAACTCCATAAAATCCCGAAGACTAGACACTTATTTCGAAATCGAGGAAAAAATAATGAGCAAACAAACCCTCGACTCCGGAATTCTCGACATCATCAACGATCCAGAGTGCGGTTTACCAGAAGACAAACTAAGATTATTCATCATCTATTACCTCCTCACGAATATTTCCGATCTTGACTACAATAAATTCGAAGCTGCCCTCACCAACGCCGGTTGTGATCTAAATCCCTTGCTATACATCCGCAGATGGAGGAATTTCATGAAAATTTCCGGTTATCAGAATAATTACGAAGGCGGCGGTACGAAGACAGTGAGTATGTTCTCAAAGCTAATGAACCAAGGATCCTCGTTCGTCATGGAGGGCGTCAAGAATCTGGTCGTGAAAAAACATAATTTACCATTCACGAGAATTGTCGACGAATTGATTGAAATGAGACAGACGACGCAAACAAACGATTATTGTTATCTTGATCCGAAACAAGTGAAAATTGTGGAACAGGCGCCGAAGACAAAAACAGAATTTCATGAAGCTATTGTTTTTGTCGTTGGCGGTGGTAATTATATTGAATATCAAAATCTCATGGATTATGTGAAACAAAAAACAAGTGGGGGTATGAATAAGAAAATTATTTATGGTTCGACGACACTTATTAATGCGAAACAATTTCTGGAGCAACTTTCTTTATTGAGTCAAGATGCTCAATAGTTGGGAAAAGAAAAATTATTAAATTAAAAGAAAAATTATATTCACAATTCTATATAGATAATAAAAAAAAGAAAGACTTTTTAGTATTAGAGAAAAGCATTTTCTTGTAAAATATGAGAGAGGGAGGGATGTTTGTAAGTAATTTGTAAACTCGTTTTCAAAATAAAATGTATAAAGATTATATTTTATTTATCGATTTATTATTTTTTATAAATTAAGTACTAATGATAATTTTCTATTTCAGAATTTTTCAGAAACTACAGACGAAAACTAATTTTTCTTTTTTCATCAAAAAATTTATTATCGAATTTCCCTTCAATTTTCATAGCAACTTTCTAGATCAACTTTAATATTTATTTTCAGCAAAATTTCAATTTAAAAAACTTTGATCAATTACAAGAATAACTACATTCTTGTAAACAATTTGATTAAAATTTTTTAAAATAATTAAATTGTTTGGAAAAATTGTATTAATTACGAAAATAATTGAATTTCTGTAAAAAATTTTATTCTTTATGAAAAGAAACGATTTTTTCGGAGAATTTTATTATTTATGAAGATAATTGAATTTTTTCGGAAAATTTAATTAAAATATTTGAAAATAATTGAAATACTAACAATATTTTTATTATTTACGAAAATAATTAAATATTTGCATAGAATTTTATTATTTATGAAAATAATTGAATTTTTACAAAGAATTTCATTAATTACAAAAATAATTAAATTTCTGTAAAAAAATGTTAATATTTTTAAAAATAATTGAATTTTTTCCGAGAATATTATTCAAATTTTTGAAAATAATTGAATTCTTGCAAAGAATTTTATAAAAATTTTTGGAAATAATTTAATTGTTTTTAAAAATTCCCTTAATTATGCGAAAGTAATTGAATTTCTGCAAAGAATTTTGTTATTTATGAAAGTAATTAAATTACTTGAGAGAATTTTATTAAAATTTTTGAAAACAATTGAAATACTAAAAATAATGTTATTTACAACAATACGAATAGTGAATTCGTTTTTATAAACGACAAAAACTAATTATTCAAAACTAATTTTCCTTTTTTAAACAAAAAAATTTATTATCGAATTTCTCATCAATTTTCATAGCGAATTTCTAGAAAAACTTTAATATTTATTTTCAGCAAAATTTCAATTTAAAAAAAACTTTGATTAATTTTTGATCAATTACAAAAAAATTAAATTCTTGTAAACAATTTGATTAAAATTTTCAAAAAAACTTGAATTCCTGAGAAGAATTTTATTATTTATGAAAATAATTGAATTATTGCGAAGAATTTTATTATTTACGAAAATAATTGAATTTTTTCGAAAAATTTAATTAAAATTTTTGAAAATAATTGAATTATTGCGAAGAATTTCATTTATTACAAAAATAATTAAATTTCTGTAAAAAATGTTATTATTTATGAAAATAATTTAATTTTTGCGACGAATATTATTAACATTTTTGAATTGCTAGGAATAATCGTTTTATTTGCAAAATTAATTGAATTCTTGCAAAGAATTTTATTAAAAATTTTTCTTATTAACTAAAAAATTTATTATCGAGTTTCCCTTTAATTTTTAAAGCGAATTTCTAGATGAATTTTTTATTTAACAAAAAGTTAATTTAAATTCAATATTTTTATCAAGTGAATTTTAATTTTGTAATTTCTAGGAAAATATTCGTTAAATAGAATTTTTATTTAACACAATTTCCTAGTTGAATAATTTTTTATTTAACAAAATGTTAATTTACAGGCCTCGGATCGACTTTCAGTTTCAGTCGCAAAAAATGTAGCTTTACTCGATTAAAAATACTAAAAAATCGTTTATTTTATTCACTGTTCTGACAAAAATCTCATTTTGTATTTCTCTGATCTTTCACTAATTTCTAAATTCAATAATTTATATTTTCAATAATTCCAAATTATCTGAAATTCAATTATTTAAAATTTCAATAATTTTCTTCAATAAATATTTAAATATTTATAAAATTTTCCACAGGAATTAAAATTTTTTATAATTCAATTCCAAATTTTCTAAAATTCAATTTTTAAAAATTACATCGGAAATTTTTCTAATTATTCTCTGGAGTTTTCAACGTAACTATTCTCTGAATCAAATATTTTAAATAATTTTCGCAAAGTTCTTAGAGAATTTAATGATTTAAATACAAATAATAAATTCTTTATAATAATTGATTATCAAAAGCTTTATAATACTAAAATTTTTAAAATTAGTTCAAAAATTAAATTTTACCAAAAGTTTTATGTAATTTTCTTTAGATATTTGGATTTTTAAAAATATGTAAATGAAAATATTAAAAATAATTGAATTTTAAAAACTTATAATGGAAAAATATTCTAAGAATTCTTTTTTTTACAAAAAATATTTTAATATAATTGTTTGAAGCAAATTTTAATTAATTAACATTTTCAAATTTATATTTGAACATTTCTCATTGAAATATTTGAAATTTCAATTATTTTCAGAATTTGCTTTTAAAATTCTTCGAAGTTTGACATTCAAAAATTTTAATTTTGCTTATTTTTAATAAAATAGTACAAAATTTTAATTATTTAAAAATTTTTTAATTATACATTTCAAAAATTCAATTATCTTGAAAGAAAATTATTCAAAAATAATTTTTTTTTAATTGAAAGATTGAAAATTTTGACTTTAATTACTTTCCACGCTATAAAAAGCGAAATAAGTTAAATTTTGTATAAAAAAATGGTATTTAGTTGCAATGTTTTGAAGAAAAGTCGAAAAGTCTGAATTTAAATTAAACTTTTCTTTTTAACTGCTCTGAATTTGGATTCAGTAAAAATTACATTAATTGAAAAATATTCCTTAAATTGAATTTTTATTTTATATTTTCAACACAGATTCCACTTAAATATTTTTTTTCCCAATTAAATGTTATTCTAAATTTTTTGTAAACTGATTTTTCAATCTTTAGAAACTTTTGAAATAAAAATATTGATGAGAACTTTTTTTCAAACAAAAGTTAGAAATAAATAAAGATATAATTCGGCGAAATGAAAAAAGAAATTCGACAATTAATACGCATTTTTTGTCAAATATAGGAAAAAATTTTAATATAGAAAGGAACGTTAAATAAGTAAAATTCTAAATTCCCCTTTTTCGAAATAAGTAAAATTCTAAATTTTTATTTTTTGAACGAAGGGAAATTCGAAATTCTTGTTTTTTGAAAGAAGGAAAATTGTAAATTCTTATTGTTCGAAATAAAGTAAAATTTTAAATTCTCATTTTTCGAAATAAGTAAAATTCTAAATTCTTATTTTTTGAATGAAGGAAAATTCTGAATTCTTATTTTGCGAAATAACTAAAATACTAAATTCTTATTGCTCGAAATAAGGTAAAATTCCAAAATTTCCCTTTTTCGAAATAAGTAAAATTTTAAATTCTCATTTTTTGAACGAAGGAAAATTCTAAATTCTAACTTTTTGAACGAAGGGAAATTCTAAGTTCTTATTTTTTGAAAGAAGGAAAATTCTAAATTCTTATTTCTCGAAATAAAGTAAAATTCCTAAATTCCCCTTTTTCGGAAATAAAGAAAAATTCTAAATTCCAGTCTTTCGAAATAAAAAGTAAATTTCCAATTTCGTATTCTCTCGAAATAAATAAATAAAATTCTGAAAATCGAAATAAATTCACGTGTCCGTATTGGCAAGTGCATTGCCTACTTTCATCATTGTATTATGAACATCGCGACTAAATTGCACCTGATTTTGCACTGTCATTAAAAATTGTGGATAAGTTAATGCAGTGCCTTCCTGCGGTGTGACGGCCTCGGTTCTCGTTGGCATCACTGGAATTGGCAAATAACGAATTGAACTCGAATGCTGCGACATACATTCGATAGACGTTTTCAAATGTAATTCAATTTGATCGCAAATTGAATAGAAGTCTTCCATATTCTTATTGAATCGATGATCTGGCGGATCAATTCCCTTTGTCGAGCCAACATCGACTAAACTATTTTGCTGTAATGTTTGCGTTGCAGTTTTCAATGTCAACGATAATGCTTCTCTCAATGGTCCAACGAGGGATTTTACTTTTGAAATATTATCCAATTTTTCTTGTGGCTGTTGTTGTCCCTGTTGTTGGGCCTGTTGTTGCGGTTGTGCGAGTTGTGGATTTCCAGTTGGTGCCATTTGGCCCATTCCCATTCCACCGACTTGCTGAATTGGCGGAATATTCATCTGCGAAAAAATTTATTTTTAATAATTTTTTCTAATGAATAAAAAAAATTAATTAATGAAATTTTAACATAAATAAATTCAGGGTTGCCACGCTTTTGCTCTTTTCAAATTCCTAGACTTTTCCAGGTTGGAAAACGGATTTTTTTTCAAATAATTTTTAAAAAAGATCTTTGAGAAGTTTCAAACCAATTTGCTTACAATTCAATTTTACTAAATTTCATCTATTATTCGAAAATTCTTCAATTAAATATTTAGAAAATAAAAACTTGAAATAATTCAAAAAAAATTAAATTAAACTTTTCAAAAAAAATTAATTCAAAAGAATTGTCAGTTAAAAGTATAAAAAATTAAATTTTCAAAAATTTTAATTTGAAACCATTTTAAAATTCAATTACTTTTAAAAATTCTTGCTATAATCCTTTTAATATTAATTACATTTTTCGAACAATTTGGTTAAAATTGTATTAAAAATAATTGAAATTCTGCGATGAGTTTTATTATTAATGAAAATAATTAAATCTCTAAAAAAATATATTATTTATGAAAATAATTAAATTATTGCGAAGAAATATAAATAAAAAAAATTGTAAATAGTTGAATTTCTGCGAAATTTTTATTATTTATGAAAATAATTTAATGTTTGCTTAGAATTTTATCAACCTTTTTTAAAAATATTTTAATTTTTTTGAAAAATTTTATTAAAATAGTAGATTTTTCTTGAGTCGAATTTTATTAAAATTTCCTTTTAAATAATTGAATTCTTTTGTGAAATTTTTTTAAAATCGTAGACATTGAAAATAACTAAATTTTGTCAAATTTTTGAAATTAATTCAATTTCTACGAAGAATTTTATTAAAATTATTTTGAAAAAAAATTGAATTGTTAGAAAGAATTTCATAAAAGTTTTTGAAAATAATTTAATTCTTTGAAGAAATTCAATTAAAAATGTTTTTAAAATAATACTTAAATTCTAAGAAATAAATTGTAGCGAAGGTTTTTAAAATAATTGAATTTCTTTAATGAATTTTATTAAAATTTTTAAAAATAATTTTTTTTTTTCGTGAAAAATTTATTTGTGAAAATAATTGAATCCTTGTAAAAAATGTTATCATTTATGAAAACAATTAAATTTTTATAAAATTCCAAAAATTTTGTTTTCCAGACAATTCCCTGACTTTACTGACGTGTGGCCACCCTGTAATTAAAAAAGTAAAAATAATTAAAAAACAATAATTAGTAAAGCAAAAGTAATTGAAAACAATAATTAATAAAAGTAAAAATAGGTAAAAAACAATAATTAGTAAAATAAGAATAAATGAAGGGCAATAATGAGGAAAGTAAAAAAAAATAATTGTCAAAGTAAAAATAAATAAAAAACAATAATTGATAAATTGATAAATTTTAATAAAAATTTAAAATTGAAATTCTATCTTTAGAAACTTTTACAATTAATTTTTCTAATAATAAAACAAAATTATTTTAATAGAAATTGAATTTGATATAAAAATAAATAAATTTCGTTCATTTGAAAGTTTAGAACTTTAGGATCATATAAAATACTAAAAAATACAAGCCTAGTAAAAAAATAATTTAAAATTATTTAATTTCAATTAAAAAAAATTGAAAATAGGAAGAAAAAAGTAGAGAAGTAAACAAAGTTACTTCAAAGGCCCCGGAGGGATTCGAACCCTCGATCTCCTGTTTACTAGACAGGCGCTTTAACCAACTAAGCCACGGCGCCATTGAAGTAAACTTTCTTAATAACCGATGAAATTTATATTCCACATTTACTGAAACTTTCTACTGAAAAAACTATTAAATTTTCACTAATAAATTAAAAAAATAATGAACACTTTCAATAACATTTAGTTAAAAACTCAATAGTTTGATTATTTTACTCGTAAAAAATTTAATATGTTAAAAGAATTAATTTTTCCGATTTTCCATATTTACGGAAATATTACTAATATTTACAAACTAAATAAGCAAACAAATTATTCTCTATTCAATATTCTTGGAGATAAAAATAATTTCTAAATTTCTGTAATTGTATTTCACTTATTTTCTTGTTTCACAAATGGAGACTAGAAATGACTGACATAATTTTTACGAATTTATTAACAAAACTATTAAATATTATTGAAAAGTAAAAACTTACCGTTATTTCCGAAAATTAGTTAACAAATTTCACTTAAAATATCAATTCACTTTCTCTGACAAGACAAATGACAAATTGTCAGGAATATTTTTTCACCTCTCGGAAAAAATAGGTTAGGAAGTAAATTTTCCTCTTTTCTGTCCAAAAAGAACACTTGTGGACATAAATTGTTATATTATGGCGATAAAAGGAAACTTTCTTTAAAAAGCCTTGTTTCTCAATATTTAAACAATTTCACAAAAACACAAGAAAATGCTTTCCTCGTTCTCTATTTCTCAAGAACATCCAAAATGTCCAAAATCAACACTTTGAGTTTGACATTTAAAGGTTATGTATGTAAACACTGTTTTCTCTTTGTTAGCTTGGCCAACCTGTAGAACAGTACTGCCACCATTAAGTATAAAATCAAATTTAATTGAAAATCAAAATCATCATCAAAATTAAAGAAAATGTTACAAAACATTACAAAAAACAATCAATAATCCAAATAATATTTGTAAACTCTTGATTTTTGATATGTATTTTAAAATTATTTTTTTGGGAAAAAAAATTTTTAGGAAAAAATAGTCGATTTTTGAATTTTCCCCGCCAGGAACAACTTCCAGTTCTAGAACTTTCTCGAACAAAATCGAAATTTACCAGTGTTGACAATTTGCGAGAAAAAACTTTTAGGAAAAATTGCTAAATACAGGAACAGGGTTAAAAAAAAAGTGTTCAGAATAACAATTAGAATTTCTGCTGATTAAAATACACATATATCTATAGAATTACGCAACGAAACTGTAGTAATTTCTGATTAATTTCGTAAACACAATTTTGTTTCGTTTATTTAAATATAAAAGACACATTTTCTTACCTTAAAAAATTTCAAAGAGGGACGAACAACATCGCATATTTTATTGTTACTTAAACACTCAACTTGTCAATATTATCGTAAGTAAATTGAAAAAGTTTGCCATTATTTTATCAATTTTCTTTGGTACAAATCAAGTACAATGACGATGTTTTTGTTAAAAGAAAGAAAAATGGAAATTTTAGGTTATGTTCCATTCTTATAATATTCGATCACGTGCGTTTTGGTTGTTAACGATTTAATCGAAATTATTTCCTTTCTTTTTTAGAATAAGTTTAAAAACTTTTACGTTGAAAAAAAGTTCTAATTTAAGGGGTAAAAAATGGCCAAATGGGGCGAGGGAGACCCACGTTGGATTGTCGAGGAAAGGCCTGACGCTACAAATGTCAATAACTGGCATTGGTAAAAAAATTTCTACTATCGATTTTCTTACTGTTTTTTAATTTTTTAAGTATTTTTTTCTATTTTTTTATCTTTCTTGTTTTTAAAGAAAAACTTTGTGTCTTATTTAAATTATCAAAAGGAGAAATATCAAAAAACTTATTTATTTTAGGACGGAGAAGAATGCTTGTGCTTGGTCACAAGATAAAATAAAGGAATTATTTACAAATTTAGAAATTGAAGGAGATGACAGTGAGTTTTTGACAATTTATTTTGACTAGTAAAAATTGTTTATGCTCTAAAATTATTCAGGACTCGAATTAGATTCCTAAATCCCGTAAAGGTCCATAAATTTGTTTTTTTGTCCGTGAAAGTCAGTTTTTTTGAAAAAAGGTCCATAAAGTCCGTAATTTGATTGAGAAGAGACAAAAGGTTTGTAAATTCTACGATATAATTTGGAGAATTGTAGAGAAATTATAAATGATTGCAGAAATTCAATTACTTTTCAAAAAGTAATAAAATTCTTCGCAGAAATTCAATTATTTTCAGTACAATTTAAATTATAATTTCTTGAAAAAATTCAATTATATTTATAAAATTTCTCGAATGAATTCAATTATTTTTTTAAAAATTAATTGATTTCTTTACAGCAATTCAATTATTTCTATAAATAATAAAATTTTTCAAAAGAATTCAATTATTTTTAAAGAATTTCTCGAATGAATTCAATTAATTTTAAAAAAATTTTTGTAACATTTCACGGAAGAATTCAATTATTTTCATAAATAACTTATTTATAGCAATTCCATTATTTCCATTAATAATAAAATTCTTTTTCAAAATTTCAATTATGTATTTTCAAAAATATTCCTCAATTCAATGATTTTTAATATCTACTATTTTAATAAAATTTTCCAAAAGAATTTAATTATTTAAAGAAAATTTTACGCAAATCTCTAATTATTTTTATAAATTAATAAAAATTTTCATTGGAATTCAATTATTTACAAATTTTTTATAAATTTCTTCGCAATCATTCAATTAATTTCATAAATAATAAAATTTTTACAGGGATTCAATTACTTTCGTAAATAATAAAATTCTTGTTAGGAATTCAATTATTTTCTTAAATAATAAAAAACTCATTGTAGAATTTTAATTATTTTTAATACAATTTTAATCAAATTCCTTGAAAAATGTAATTATTCTTAAAAATTTTTTATTGAATTCTAGTAAAATTTTCTAATAAAAATTGATTTAAAAGTGGATTTTCGTTAAAATTTTAGATAATAATTGAATATTAAAATCATTAGAAAGTGAATTTTAAGAAATAATTGTATTTTGAAAAAGTTTAATTGAATTTTTTTTGGAAATTATTTCAAGTTTTTATTTTCTAAATATCTAATTGAAGAATTTCCGAATAATTGAAATTTTGTAGAATTGAATTGTAAACAAATTGATTTGAAAATTGTCAAAGAACTTTATCGAAAATTATTTTAAAATTATTAAATACTTTCACTGGTTCGAGCTCTGAATTATTCGAAATAAGTTTTAAAATAAAGTGTTTACCTTTTTCGATTTTATAATTTTCTTATAAATTCTTAATTTTTACAGTAAAGTGTTTTGTAACTACTGTCGACAAATGCGAAGGTGAAGCTGTAGCCAATAATAGAAAAGGAAAATTAATTTTCTTCTACGACTGGAATATTGTTCTCAAATGGATATCGCCCGGAGAAGAAAAGAAAATCGAGGGGAAAATTAACATTCCTAATCTTTCCGAGGAGAACGATATTTCCGAAGTAAATGTAAGTTTGTAAAAATTCAAACAAAAATCGATGTTTATCTAAAAAAAGAAGATTTTTAAACCAAAAATTTTAATTTTATAAAAAATAATTCTAAAGATCTAAATTTTTGATAAAGAATAATACTGAAGATGTAAATTTTCGATAAAGAATAATACTGAAGATCGTGAGAGTTTGATAATGAAATATTTCTTCACAGATCGAAATAACTTTGAAAGATAGTACCAATGAAGGTGAAAAAGTAAAGCATTTTTTGCACACAAAAGGGAAGGAAATTATTAGAGAAAATCTAACTAAATACGTCTCTTCATTGAAGGAAGGTAAAGAAAAAATAATCTTATTTTTTAAAAAAATACCCACGAATATACGTAATTTAGAAAAAAATATGCTTTAATTTTTTATTTTCTTTTTACAGAATTTTCGAAAGGAATGATTCTTCCCAAGAAAACGGAACTTAAAGAAAGTATTTCCAATATTACATCAGGGTTTAATGTGAAGGTAAGAATAAAAGAATAGTTTTCAATTTAAATTCAGGAAAATGTAAAGAAAATTAAATTTTCAAAAAATATTCTAAACAAAATTTAAACTAAATGAATAGACAATTTTAGGTAATTAATTAAATTGAAATAAATTAAGGAAGAATCGGTCAAACAATCGGAACAAAAGTTAGTCAATTGGGATAAGTTCGGACTTTAAAAAAAGGCAAATTTTAAATTTCTTTCTGTAGAAGAAAGAATTTAATTTTCAATATTTTTAACAATTTTAAGTTGCAGAATTTAATAAATATTTCATATTTTGACAAAAAATTGTAATTTTTATTTAAATACAACTTTTAATTGTTTAAAATGGTAATAATTATATTCTTAACCCTTTCACGAAAACTAAATTAAAATTTAATTTGTCTTTTTCTATTTTTGAATTTTTAAAAAATATAATTTTCTGAAATATAATTCTTTAAAAAAAACAAATATATTGCAAAACAAAGTTTTAAAAGTAATACAATTTAATTCTTTGAAATATAAAATTTATGTCAAAGAAAATTTGACAAAACTTTGAATTGTTTCAATTTTTAAAATAATTTTCCGGAATTCAATTATCTTCAAAAAAATTTTAATTACAATTTTTCAAAAACCTAATTTTTTTTTAGAATTTCTACATTGAATTATTCAAAATTTCAATTATTTGTTTTAAACAAATCTTTAAAAACTTATTATTATTTACTTTAGTCAGAGAGAAACTCTTTAGTTGAAATTTCAAATAATTGCAATGTAAAACCTTTTGAAAATTAATTATTTCTAAAAATTACATTGCAATTTTTCCAAAAGTCAATTATTCTTTAGAATTATTGAATGAAATTATTCAAAAATTTCAGTTTTTAAAGGAAAATAATGTATTAATATTTTTTTTAATGAACATTTAATTATTATTCTACTTTTCCGGCGATTAAAATGTTAAAAACATTTCAATTTAAAAACCTTCTAATCTTTAATTATTTCTTAAAATTTCTGTTATATATACAAAAATTTTTGTAAAATTGAATTATTTTTCTAATTTTTTAATTTTTAGTTACCTACAATTCTTAAAAAATATAATAATATTAAAAAATAATTCTTTAAACTAAGAAAATAAAATTCTTTGAAATATAAAATTCATTTTAATGAAATTTGAGAAAATTTCCTATTTTTCCAGTTTTTAAAAATTACTTTCGGAAATTCAACTATTTTCAAAAAATGTTTAATCACGAGTTTTTAAAAACCTCGTTTTTCAGAATGTTTAAATAAAAATTTTCATATTTTTCTAATTCTAATTCAAATTTTTCTAATTCTTGAAGTATTTTCGAAAATTTGAACTGAAATTCTTTTTCTAATCAATTCTTATCAAAAATTTGAACGAGAATTCAATTATTTAAATTCAATAATAAAATAATTGATTATTACTAAAAATTGCAACTATTTATGGATTTTTTTTAATTTGAGAAAGAAAATTCATAGAATATTTAAGATTTTGAATAATTTGATATTTTTTTGAATAAAGTTTCCTTACTTTACTGTCCTGTGAAAATGCTGTTATTGTTAAAATTCTATAGAAAATAATTTCACTAAAACACTAATCACTCTATTTACAAATTAATTTTCAAACTTTTGACATGAAAATTTGAGTTGTAAAACAATTTGGAATCAAAAAGCTCTAACTTCACGTGAGGGCAAAATACCTTGATTATTATTACATATATATAAAATAATTATGTTATCACATTGAACTAAATTTTGTTTTGACCGTCCGTCAGATTCTTTCTTAAATTAAATTGATTTTATTAAATAAATAATAATTATTAAATTAAAATAATTTAAATTATATTAATTATTAGATTAAAATAAACTAATTTAGATTAAATATTAATTAATAATTAGGTAAGTAAATAAAAAATTTGTTTATATAAGTCGGGATTAAATAAGTTATTCAACAAATAAACAATTTATACCAACAAGTTAGTAATAAATTAATTATTAAATAAATAAAAAATTTATTTACTGAATTCAGTAATAAATCAATTACTATAAATAAATAAAAATTTATTTACAGAAATCTATAATATATTAATTGCCCTCAAAAAGAAGAGAAATAAATTTGAATAACAAAATATTTTCTTATTTCAGTTGCAAATGAATTCGACTGTCGTATCCAATAATAAAGGAAATGGCTGTACAATTAATACCACGACTATTAAGCAACAGCAAAAATTCCAATGTAGGGCACAGGAGTTTTATAACGCATTTACAGTACCCGAGGTATTTAAAAAAATTTTCTTTTATTTATAAAAGATATTTTCTTCATTTCTATTGACTATTTGAATTTTTCTATAATAAATTAAATTTACAAAAAAAAAAAAAATTGCAGATGGTGCAAGCTTTTACCAAGGGTCCAGTGAAATTAGAGGCAAAAAAAGAAGGGAAATTCGAATTATTCGGTGGGAATATTCATGGGGAATTTATTGAACTTTCACCAACGAAAATCGTTCAAAAATGGCGTTGTAAACAATGGCCAACGGATCATTATAGTGAAGTTACTCTTAATATTTCGGAAAAGAACGATCACACTGAAGTTAATCTTACACAAAGAGGAGTTCCAACCAGGTAAATATTTTTTTATAAAATAAAATATTTTCCTTGTAATCTTTAAATTTTCAGGGTTGCCACAGGTCGGGGAATTTAGAGAAAGTAGAATTATTTATTGGTCAGAAAAATCAGGGAAAAGTAAGGGATTTTTATAAAAGTATTGGAAAAAATTAAATTTGCAGAATTCATAATTAGTTTTATTTAATTTTTTAATACATATTTAATTAATTATTAAAAATTACGGATTTATAGAAGAAATTTAGTTAAAAACATCAAAAAGAATTAAATTTTAGAGAAATTACAAAAATGTTTGCAGAAATTCAATTGTGTTCAAAAATTTAAAAAAATTCTAGTCAAAATTTCAATTACTTTTAAAAAATTTTCTTCAATTCAATGATTTTCAATATCTACTATTTGAAAAAAAATTCAATTCTTTAAAAAAGGGTTAATAAACTTCTAAGCAAACATTAAATTATTTTCATAAATAACAAAATTCATTGCAGCAATTCAATTATTTTTGTAAATAATAAAGTTATTCCTATCAATTCAATTATTTTCATAAAATATAAAAATACTTGCAGGCATTCTATTATTTTCGTAAATAATTAAATTGTTCAGTACATTTTAATTATATTCACAAATTTTAATAAAATTCTTCCCTAAAATCCAATTATTTTCATAAATAATAAAAAAAAATTCTTTACAGGATTTCAATTAGTTTTGTAATTAATTAAATTTTTTGAAACAATTCAATTATTTTTTTAAAAATTCAAATAAGATTCTTAGCAAGAAAAAAGTGTTGATAAAATTCTAAGAAAACATTAAATTATTTTCATAAATAATAAAAATTTCACATGAATTCAACTATTTACAAATTTTTTTTATAAATTTCTTCGCAGTTATTCAATTATTTGCATAAATTACTATTAAAAATTTGTTTATAACATTCTACATGAGAATTCAATTTTAAATAGAATTTTCTAATAAAAATTGTTTTAAAAATGAATTTCAGTTAAAATTTTAGACTGTAATTGAATATTAAAAGCAATTCAGTGTGACTTTTTAGAAATAATTGTATTTTCAAAAAGTTGAATTAAATTTTTTTTTGGGAAATTATTTCACGTTTTTATTTTCTAAATATTTAATTGAAGAAAATTTCTGAATAATCAAAATTTCGTAAAATTGAATTGTAAACAAACTGATTTGAAAATTCTCTATGAACTTTTGCAAAAATTGTTAAAAATAATTGATAAGTGTTCATTTATTTCTTTGGAAGAATTTTTATAAAAGTTTTGAAATTAATTACATTTTTCGAAGAATTCACATAAAATTTTATTAAAAATAATTGAAATCATGTGAAGAATTTTATTATTTAGGAAAATAATTGAATCCTGGTAACAAATTTTTATTACATTTTTTTAAATAATTGAAATCCTGTGAAAAATTTTATTATTAAGGAAAATAATTGAATTCTTGCAACGAATTGTATTATTTATGAAAATAATTTAAATTTTACAAACTTTAGTAAAATTTTTGATAATAATTGAATTTTTTTCCTAAAATTGTGTTTAAAAATAGTTGAATTTGAACGAAGAATTTTATTATTTACAAAAATAATTGAATTTTCCAAAAATAATCAAAATCTTGTAAAGAATTTTATTAACAATTTGGATAATACTTTAGGGTCAGTGGAAAAATAAAAATTTTGTCTTGAAATCAGGGAAAAAAAATTAATTTTTTGTGGCAACCCTGATTTTGAAATGTAAATTTCGATACAGAAATTTTGAGTACTAAAACTGTTTTTCTGTTTGTTTCTAAATTTCCAGTGAAGAAGACTCAACGAAAGAAAACTGGGAACGATACTACTGGAATTCAATTAAACAAGTCTTTGGCTTTGGATACTTCATGTGATTCTCTTCATCTCTCTCTGTTTTGTATTTATTTCCTATTGATAAGAAAAACAGTCGTAAAGCAAGCAATATGTCAAGAGGGGGACAAAGAAGCTACAAATTCTGCCTAAAAACAATTTCAATTTCTTAACGCGCATAATTAAACACTGTAATTGTATAATCAAACCTTATGATTCAGTGAAAAAAAATAAAAAATCGGCCAAACGTGATTACTTTCGAAAAAATATTTTCAAATCCTCAAAAAAAATTCAATTTAATAATTATGCAATTATTTCCAGTTTAAAATTATCTTCACAATGAAAAATATTTCCGTTTGTTTTAATTTCTAGAAAATTTATGTATATTATTATTTTTAACCAGTGAATTTTTGTTTAAAAAAAAATCTTTCTTTCTCAAATTCGGATAGAAAGGGAGAAAAAAAAAATTTTGAAAATTTTGTTTAAACGATGAAAGAATTTTAGAATTTTGTAATAATTTGATTTTGAATAATAAATGTGATTCTAGTTGATATAATTATTTTTTTCGCTGTACAATAAAATAAAATAATGATATAAAGTGTTTTAGGAGAGAAAGAAAAGTAGAAAAATAATTAAAACACTACTCATCTTGAAGCTAAGTATTCACTTTTATCGTCTGTGAAATAGCCTGAAGCGTCGAGTTACTTTCGTCACTAATATATAAACCCCCCTCTCACCTCTTGTTCCTCTTTTCATCCCCTAAAACATCCCCCCCTTCACTAGACCCCGCGCGCAACCCTTTTCGCTGGGAACTACCTTCGAGTGATGGTCCTTAGCGGTTACACTGAGAGCATTTCTCGTTTCTTTGAAGGTAATCTTAAACGAAATTCCAAAGCACTTGCCACTTATGCTCTCCCGTTATACAACCAAGATTGATTAGTAATTAGCTTCGAGAATCTCATGTCATTTTTAATTATTTAATGTAGAAAAATAATCATTTTATTCTTCTAACTTTTTAAATAGAAAAAAAGACTTTGATTTTTAAATAATTTCTGACTCAATATTAGAAAAAAATCACTTATTAAACAATTAATTATTATTATTTGCAAAAATTTATTTAACATTTTCGGAAAAAATTTAATCATTATCAAATTATTTTCAAGAACTTTAAGAAAATTCAATTTATTTTAATAATAATAATAAAAATTCAGCGCCAAATTAATTTATTTTCAAATAATAATTTGAATAAAATTCTTCGCAGGATTTCAATTATTTAAGAAAAATATAATAAAAATTCAGCGCCAAAATTAATTTATTTCCAAATAATAATTTGAATAAAATTCTTCACAGGATTTCAATTATTTAAGAAAAATGTAATAAAAATTCATTGCAAGACATCAATTATTTTTCTAAATAATAAAATATTCTTTACTGGATTTCAATTGTTTAATTTGAAAATTTAATAAGATTCTGCGCAGAAATTCAATTATTTTCATAAAATAATAAAAATTTTTGCCGGAATTAAATTACTTTCTTAAATAATTTAATTTTTCGTAAAAATTTAATTATTTTCAAATATATTAATAAACTACCTTGCAAGAATTCAATTATATTCGTAAATAATAAAATTATTCCTAGCAATTCAATTGTTTTCAACTTTTTAGTAAAATTCTTCGCAAAAATCCAATTATTTTCATAAATAATAAAAAAAATTCTTTGCAGGAATAGAATTAGTTTCGTAATTAATTAAATTTTTCCAAACAATTCAAATATTTTCAAAAATTCTAATAAGATTCTTAGCAAGAATTTTATTACTTTTAAATATTTCTAACAAATTTTTTGTAGGTATTCAATTATTTTACTAAACAATAAAAGTCTTCGCAAGATTTTAAATGTTTAATTTAAAAATTTAATAAAATTCTTTGCAAGAATTGAATTATTTTCATAAATAATAAAATTCGTCACAGGATTTCAATTATTTAGAAAAAATGTAATAAAAAAATTTGTTACCAGAATTTAATTATTTTCCTAAATAATAAAATTCTTAACAGGATTTCAATTATTTTTAATACAAGTGAATTCTTTGTAAAATGTAATTAATTTCAAAAATTTTATTAAAATTCTTCGAAAGAAATAAATATGAACAATTATCAATTATTTTTAATAATTTTTTCAAAAGTTTATAGAGAATTTTCAAATCCATCTGTTTACAATTCAATTTCACGAAATTTTAATTATTCGGAAATTCTTGAATTAAATATTTAGAAAAATTCAATTATTTTCAATAATAATAAAAATTCTGATCTGAAATTCATTTATTTTCAATACAATTTTAACAAAATTTCAAGACAAAAATTAATTATTTTCCTAAATAATAAAATTCTTAGTAGAAATTTAAATATTTTCAATAAAATTTCTCGAGAGGATTCAATTTTCATCAAAATTTCTAATGTAATTTTACAAAAGAATTCAATTATTATCAATAATTATTGCAATACATTTTTTTTTAAAAATTCTTTTACTTTCAAAAACAGTAATAAAATTTTTCTCAGGAATTCAATTCTATTGAATACAAATTAGAATTTCTCGAAATAATTCAATTATTTTCATGAATAATAAAATTTTTCACAGCAATACAATTATTTCCATATAAATAATAAAATTCTTCGTAGGTATTCAATTATTTTCAATACAATTTAAATTACAATTTCTCGGAAGAATTCAATTATTTTCATAAACGATTAATTACTTTACAACAATTCAATTATTTTAATAAATAATAAATTTTTTTTGAAAGAATTTAATTATTTTTATAAAATTTTTCAAATTAATTCAAATAATATTCATAAAATTTTTGTAACATTTCTTGGCAGAATTCAATTATTTTTATAATTAATTTCTTTACAGCAATTCAATTATTTCCATAAATGATAAAATTCTTTGTAAGAATTCAATTATTTTTGAAAGAATTTCTCAAATGAATTTAATTATTTTCATAAACAATAAAATTCTCCGCAAGAATCAAATTTTTCTAATATAATTTTAATAAAATTTCTAGAAAGAATTCAATTATATTTCACAGAAGTTTAATTTTTTAATATAATGTTTGGAAAAAATTCAATATTTCCAACAAAATCTTAATAAAATTTATGAAAAAAAGTTAATTAATTTTCAAAAATAATAAAATTCCTCACAACTATTAAATTATTTTCAATACAACTTTAATAGAAATAATTATTGAATGAATTCAAATAATTTCAATAAAATTTTTGTAACATTTCTAGGAAGAATTCAATTTTTTCCATAAATAATTCAATTTTTCGCAGAAATACAATTTTTGAAATCAAATTCCTAGAAAAAATTCAACTATTTAAAACGAATTTTAAAAAAATGATTCGAAACATTTTAATCGCTTTCAGAAATTTCAATAAAATTCCTCGAAAAAATTAAATTATTATTTCCAAAAATTGTAATAGAATTCTTCGTAACATTTTAATTACTTTTTTAATTTGTAATAATAGTTTCTATGATAGTATTAAATTATTTCACATTTATAATGACGAATGTTACAATTATTACATTTTTTTTAACAAGAATGTTATCTTTGAAAATTAAAAAAAAATGTCTTATAATGTTATAAAATAAAAGTAATTTCAACATTTTTAGAAACAAATTTGTTTGATTTATATTTCTTATGTTTTAATTTTCGAAACTTTAAATTCGAATTTCTTTAATATTTTCAAGTTCTCAAAGCATTGAAAAAGAGACATTATTAAAATAGAAAACAGAAAAGCAATAGAGAAAAACCAAAATTTTTTCGTTAGCAATTACTAACGAAAAAAAATTTTTGGTAACTTTATTTTCTAATAGCAAATATTTCGAAAATATTTTTGACTTATTTCTCGAAGCTAGTTTTTAAACAAAGTATCAAAACAAAGTATTTTTTTCTCTTTTTACCTTTCCGCAAACAATTCTGAATTTTTCCTATTCACACAATTTTTCTTTTGTTTTCCGAATTGAGGAAATGCATTTTTTTTTTTAATGGCATTATACCCAGGGATAATTTTAAGAGAATTATACAGCGCCATAAAGGAATTAGGAGAGCATGGAGCTTATCAAACGTGCATTATGGAAGTCAATCCGCTTTGATCGAATGAAATTACCAGAATTGAATTCATTATCGCTTGAAAACTTCTAATCCCCCTCGATGCCCCGTGAGTGACGTATTCCGGATAAAGTTCATTCATTAATGTTGACATGCAAGTTGGCAACCAAAGGGGGGTCTTTTTCAAAATGATTGTGTGCAAATATTCTCTCCTATGACATAAACGCCAATTTTCGAATAGAATTTCACTGTTTGTTTTTCTCTAAAACAAGAAAAAAAAATCAATTCAATTTTATCGCAGAAGAAAAATTTTTATTCATTAACTATAATAATCGACAAATTCTTTCATTCATTCTTTTTGTCCACATCTGAAGTTTGACTTTTGTTATTCCTTTTTTTTTCTTTAGAAAATATTGTTTGACAAATCGAAAATTATTTTTCATGATTTATAATAAAATAATATTTGAAATTGGAGAAAATCCCAAAAGTTTGGAAAAATTCACTTAAACGTTTAGGAAAATTTCTGAGAATTTGGAAAAATTTTCATGCAACTTCCATGTAAATACAAATTATTTTTTAAAAAAATGAAATTAAACTTTTTCCAAACAAATTAATTCTTCAAAATTGACAATTAAAAGTATAGAAAATTCAAATTTTCAAATATTATTACTAATAAAAAATTTGTAAATATTTAAATTCCTGGGAAATTTTTATTATTTATGAAAATAATTAAATGTTTGCGTACAATTTTATTAAAATTATTTAATTGAATAATTAAACTCTTTTGGGTAATTTTATTAAAATAGTAGATATTGAAAATCATTGAAATGAGGCAAATTTTTACAAAATATTTGAAATTTTGATAACAATTTTATTAAAATTTTTGAAAATAATTGAATTTCTGCAATAATTTGTTACTTCTTCTAAATTAAATTTTTTCTTTAGTGTTTTTAACTAAAATTCTTCTATAAATAATTTTTAAAAAAGTTCTTTGAGAATTTTCAAATTCATTTGTTTACAATTCAAATTTACAAAATTTCAATTATTTGGAAATTGTTCAATTAAATATATATTAGAAAATAAAAACTTCAATAAAATAATTTTAAGTAAAATTGAAATAAACTTTTTCAAAAAAAATTAATTCTTC